ATATTTTTAGTTAGACACAGTCACGCGCAATTAAAAATGGAAATTATGGCTTGATTCGGCAGAGGTATAACGACACGTGCCACTTTTGCGTCACATTAACCAGGGTGGCCAATACTTTTTATACCCCCCTGTATATATATATAACTTACCTTGCATCAAACTCGTCTAAAATAAGAGAAAAAAATATGAATCGTCTCTTTTTAAGTTAGTATAATATTAGCGGATATAAAAGATTTTCGTCTTGATAAATTGAAAGTATAATCGTCGGAAATATCTAAACTTCATCAAGCAACTGAAGCAACCAAAAATTGTAATTTGTTGATTCAAATAAAAATGGTATAAGCTTTTCAGAATTCTAGTACTTACTGATATAGTATATTCCGGTTTTACAGTGCGCGACGAAAGTATTCGGAATTACGTTTTTATTTATTGTATTTCGAAAACAACTCAAAAATACTTGAAAATTTAAAATTATATATTTTATTATATAACGAAAAAAAATTCTAAGCTAAGTCAATAGCTTAGCTTATTGCAATCCCCCTCAATTATTTGTTCCAATCGTTTTGGCATGCTACGAACCAAATTAAGAATTTCGGCTCGATTCACTCCCACACTTTTTCTAAAAACATCTATAATAATTTGATTTTTTATTAATTACAAGATTGTTGACCTCTTTTTTCACACGTCCCTTCCAAAATTGACCACAAATTCTCACTCGGATTTAAATCTGGGCTATTCGATCGCCAATCCAACAACCTTGGACATCGTTTAGAAAGAAGTTTTTTAGTTTTCTTGGCCGTGTGTTTAGTCATTGTCCTGTTGAAAGACCCAGTACCTTCCCATTACATAATATCTAAAAATGGCTAATGCAATGATATCACGTGAAAAGTTATTTAATAGATTACATATTGCAGGAGAAAATCGTGATTTTTTACATCGAATTTTAATTCCGGAAACTTTCGTCGCGCACTGTACATTTAAATTAAATTTATTTTATTTTTATAAATATTGGCGTAGCAACATTTACATATTCAATAAAAAAAATTTTAACGCCAAATTGTGACGGCTGTAAATTTTGCGATTGAGATTATTTTAGAGCCCCTATGTTGTCAAGACCCATCGCAATCTCTTTTTTAATCTTGCTTAAAGCAAACGAAGTTCACTTAAGAGGCGATAAATGTTTGCATAAGTTTTTATATATAATTCGTTGCAAGTCCCATATGATAAATTTATCATTGCTGTGTGATTTTCAAATTCTAATGTTGAATTATTATGAAATAGATTCAAATCTCTCCTTATTATTTTAACTCTGCATCTGTTATATTTTTAAAAATAAATTTAATAACATCACTTAAAAGTAATCTATTATTAACAGAGCCAAATTTCTTCAACTGCTCTTAAAAAATAATGTTAATATAATGTAATAATATGAATCTATAAATGCTATTTAGTATGGTTATTTTCAAAATGACCAGACCCATATCATCAACAACTCGTCTGGTATGTATTAAAACTTTTATTCTACCATGTAACGGATCAATATGCAGATAGTATTGAGAAGAAAAATTGTCGCTCATATAATTTTCTTTTTCCTCTGACAACCAAATGAGGCTTCTTTCGTTATATTATAGTATGTGCTTTCATCTAAAGTCCTCTTCTTAAGTCGTCACTTGTTTCAACTGTTACTTAGTTCCCTTTTCATAGTATCATCTCACACTATTTTGGTTTGACTGTCAAGTAATTGAGATAGTAATTCCAGATTTTTTAATTATGAAATATTTATTTTAATTTGTACACAGTGAAATTCGATAAACACGATCTATCGGTTCCACTAAAAATATCCGGTTTATCGGGATATCCGGTATAGCGAAAATTGTTTTTTTGATATACTAAAAATCCATTATACTGAATTTTTAAAAATATTTCACATTAAAGATGACAATCTACACTATATTTTAACTTTCCATCTTAATTATTATGTGATAAAGATCATGAAAATGAATATAAAATATTTTTAATTGAATATAATTATGTCAATAACTTCAGCCGGAATTAAGATTTTTATAGTTCTGGGAAAAGTTAAGATTTACCGAATCACGTTACTTCAATTTTATTGGTTCATGATCACGTGCTCAGGTTTATCGAATCATTTTTACTATAGCTGTTTGGAAAATTGATCCGTTATAGCGAATATCGATCTTTTACTAGTAAACTCGGTATATCGAAACTATTTTAATATACATGATTTGGTTCCAGCAAAAAAGTCCCAAATCCGGTTTATCGAAGATCCGGTTTATCGAATTTCACTGTGTATTAATAATATATGACTTTTATCTTTTTAAGTTAAATCAAAGACAAGGAGAATTAGGAATCGAGTAAATATAGACGTAGTTAAAGAATCATTTCACGTTCTATCCTACGTTTGCAATTATCATGTTTAAAGTTTGTTCGTTTTCTGCATAATAATTGCTTTGACAGCAAATACTACAGCAATTACAAAAAAGGCTCAAGTGATAAAAATGAATTCATATTCATTATCAAATAATTGTTTATTACTTAAATTAGTTTTTGCGCAACCATATTTTTTTCTAAACGAAAAATTTTTTATTATAATAATTATACTTGGCGACCTTGAATTCTTTATGAGCTTTTCTTACATAAATTATTCCAATTATTTAAAATAATCAGTGTTTTTATTTTTATAAAAATTAATTTATTTCAGGAATTTTTAAGATTTTAAGGATATATAAAAAGAAAGAGCTGAATCGATAATTGATAGTTACGTTATAACATTTGCTGTTGCAAATAACTCAACGGTCAAAGTATAATTATCATATGGAAAGATTGCTAGGAAAATCAGGTTCCGAGAATCTTTTTGATTAAAATAAAATCTTATTATATTTTAATCTAATAACATCAAAAAACTAAAATGCAATAAAATCAAAATTAAATTCCCAGATCCTGATTTTCCTAGCAAACTTCCCATATGTGGCCGTGTAATTATTATATTATTTATTTATTATTTATACTAAATAATTGACATTATAAGCATGATTTTGAGAATTTATTCATTTAATAAATGAAAAGGTAATGGCTTTTTTTATTATTTTAATTAATGTGATCGAAAAGCTTAAAAAAAAAGAAATCAAATAAAATTATAAATTAATAAAAAATAAAAAAAAAATACATAGTTTATATTTTTTCAGCATTTCGGCTGCTGTAATATTTTCATTTTTTATTTTTTTCTTAATTTTTTTTGAAGTTTTCAGAAAGAAAACCTTTTAAAAAAAAAACGAATAAAATAAAGAATATACATTTAATCAACGCAATGGGCCTGTACGAGTAAATACTAGAAAGAAAATAATAAAAAACAATCGAATATCAAAAAAAAAAAAAAAGAATAATAAATCAACGTTAACGCAATATCGACAAACCTAAATAATAATAAAAAATTTAAAAAAAAATTCTTAAAAAATTTCAATAAAAAATAAAAATAAATATTATAAACATTAAGTTACCGCACATCAACCTGCCTGATTTTTAGGCGAATTTTCAGTGTCGGAAGCAGCGGCGTAAGTATTTGATTTTTTTTCCTATATACAGTATTAAACCACTGTCGTAGCATAAAGCATAAACCTATGTATAAGAAATATTAATGATAGATCTAACTATAAACTGAAATTTTTGGTTTAGTCAAAAAATTATCAAACTTTTCCAAATAAAGTTAAGCAACGTGCCACCTGATTTTCAGGATACTTTTATTATGCTAACTAGCAATTCTTGAATTCTTTATAGATAACACTTATTCTTCTTATAAAGATAACTCACGATTTAGATTAGAAATGTCAGTAAGAATTGTAAGTAATCATTGGGACGCAAAATTTTTTTCAAGTCAGAAGCCAGATTTGAACTAGCGACCTAGAAATGACAACATTGAGATTATTATCTCACTACATACAGTCCCCACTTTATCGAGTTTTGCTTGTAGTAATTCGATAAACCCTAGTAGTAATAACAAGTTTTTCGTTGACATTTTCTATTATTTATGCGTGGCGCAATATTATTTTATTTAAAACTTGAAAAAAAATTAATAAGGAAATGATTTTCATCCGTGTGTGATATAAATTCAATCAGAATCAGATTCATTTGTTGATTAACAAAATTGTTTTCTCTTTTCAAATTTACAATTCAAAAATTCCATCAATAAAAATAATGACGGCACAATTTTTTCCAAAATTAAGTCAAAATTTTATCGAAACATTAAATGATGATGAATACTATGATATCAAAATCGAAGTTGGAGAGGACCCAAACGTGAAAATATTCCGAGCGCACATGATTATTTTGTGTTACCGTTCACCATATTTTCGACGAACTTTAGCTTCCAATAAAAAAGACAATGATGATGGCTCCCTAACTCATATCAAGTTACCAAATATTTTACCGGAAATCTTTGAAATTATTTTAAAGTAAGTCATTTTAAAAAACCATGTTGATTTCTTTTTATATCCCAAATTAATAATAACGTTTGATATTAATAATATAAGATATATATATGGCGGAATCATTTCATTAAATGAGCATGACACCTCGATTATTTTTAAAGTTTTGGTTGCAGCTATTGATCTTCATCTTCAAGAACTAGTTGAATATTTACAAAAATATTTAATTGAAAATAAATCTGAATGGATGGAACAGAATTTTGAACTTATTCATAGAACAAGCGCTCAACACATTTCTTTATCAGAAATTCAACAATTTTGTTTAGACTTAATGGTTAAATCACCCGAAAAGATATTCGAATCGCTTGATTTTGCTTGGATTCCTGAAAAATTTCTAGTTTCGCTTATTAAAAGGGATGATTTACAAATGAAGGAAGTTGAAGTTTGGGAGCATGTATTGAGATGGGGAATTGAGAGAAATCCTGCATTAATTTCAGATCCTTCAACTTGGTCTGATGATGATTTCAAAAAAATGGAAAGTACTTTACAACAGTGTTTACCGTCAATTAGATTTTTTAGTTTAACCCCTGATGAATTTATCAAAAAAGTTCATCCATATAAAAACCTTTTAAAACATCAACTCTATCAAGATTTATTAAATTCCTATTTGGATTCTGAAAGTGAACCTAATGATAGTATATTACTCCCTAGAAGTAGAAATTTTGATGGAATTATTGATTCAAAAATTGTCAATGTAAATATTGTTTCCATCAATCATTTCAAGGTGGATTGATAAAGTAGAAATTAAAAGCAATTTTGCTTATGTAAGAGAATTGTATTTTCCATATAAATTTAAACTATTATTAAGAGGTAGCCGAGATGGTTTTACATCTCACACAGTTACGCTCATTCTTGGAGGTTATAATCCTCAATTATGGAGATATAGTGACGCTGAGTGGGGACGAACCAAGCATAGTTTCATATTTTCTTTCAAGAATAAAGATAATTTCAAAGATTCAATTTTAAGTCATGTGAATGATATAGATTATGCACTATATTACGACGATGAGTTTGGTCCTTCATTTGGTAATGACCTTTGTATACGAACTTTGAAAGAGACGGGAAGTAATGGTGATTTTGATCTTAATTTTTGCATTGAGGACGGATATGAAAAACTTATAAGAGATACCGAAGTCTTTTCAATAGAAGATTATGAAGTATTTCAAATTTTGAAAAATGAGAAATAATGATATTCTATTAGATTTGAACAAGCAAATTTGATTAAATAAATAAAAATATTTCTAATTACACAAATCTTGTATTATTTTTGTTTTTTAAATCAATCTCCTTTTTTTAAAAACATTTGGTAAATTCAAAATTAAAATAGAATATATTTTTTAGTGGATGTTCATCTGTCATACTTTTTTTAAGGCCACTGAAATAAAAAATAAATTTGGAATTTCCAGTACTTTTTTATTCATAGGATTAAGAAAGTAACTATTATATAAAACCTGGTAACATAATAGCTAAAAAAAAAATTTTTTATGAATAATATAATAAACTGTTCACATGTACAAACGATAAATTTTTTGTTATTTCCAGTAAAAATACTTACAACTTTACTTTTGAGAATAATATAGTTAAATTTTAAATTACAGCTTGTTAATTGTTTAATCATTTTTATAAGCAAGCAATATTTATGAAACATAAACGTTATTGTAAATGATATGATAAGCTTAAATTAAGAGATTATAAAGGTCGATTAGATACAGTATTCAAATTATGTTTCGTAAGCTAAAATTAAATAAATTAAAACTTTTATTTCTAATATGTTTAAATGTCTTACGACTATATTATTACCTTGAAGTCTTCGATAATATTCCAAATACTTTTTTTGGCTGCTTGATAAAAGATAATAAAAAGGAAGAAATTTATAATGAAGAAAATTTAGAACAATATACAATTCACTATTAATGGATTTTGATCAAATTTTTTAAAAAAAGCATTTACTTACTTATTAGTAAAACATATAAATGGACAGTAGGAAATATTAAAAATTACAAATTTCTAACATATACCATTATTAAATGGTAACTTTATTAATTTTTTTTTTTTACTATGAATAATTATTTACCTAAAAATGATAACTTTATTTAAGTATCTTAAATTTTAAGGTATTATTAAAGCGATTCTAAATATGTATAATAAAGCTAACTTCCCACGGACTCCACGGAAGATGCTTCCACACCGAAAGTATTGTTCTCTTTTGCCTTTTTATTATTTTTAAATACAAGGCTTATACATTTTCAATACTCAACATATAACGAATAACCGACGATAAAGGTTTCTTAGTAACACGAAATTTTTTTTTATTACTCTTTGTGTATTTTGTCTTTAGATATTTGTCTGTAGATTATTTAACTTATTTTTCAACTCTAATATAAGAAGCGTGCAATACATACAAGGCATGATCGTTCTCGAATTTGATTTCACTTAGATCTTCTTTTCTTTTATATTCCGAAGAAAGACGCGGCAAAAAAGGTGTTTTGCTAGTAGCCAGCTTACCCAGCTTTATTTATGAAGAATTTTCAAAATGATGGACCTGTTACTTTTGAAGATTAACCTTCTGAAGTCATTATACCGAGTTTTCGAACCTGATATTTTGACGTTGTGGTAATTTTTATTTAACCGATTATCACTTTTTTGGTTGTCGGGAGCAACATTTATTATTTGGCTAAGTACAAGCATATTGAGGACTTAAATTAATAACATTCTTCCATTAAATAAACCCTAGTGAGGTCAGGACAATAATCATTCCTTTCTTATCATGAGCAAGTTGTTTGAATAATGATTTGGTCCATATAGTGTGATAATGAATTTGAACTTCGTGTCGTGTTCACATTACAAAATCTGAAATCAATATTGTGTGTTTTGCTACCTTCACTTTCTTTAAAAAATCTTTGAAAGGCTCAGTAAAATATTCCCGTCATGAATACCAAGATGCGCAAATTCGTGATCATGTATATCTTTTAACCTTTTAAGTGCATCTAATAAATGATATTGACGTGAATTCCTCTGTTTTGTATTGCATTAGTAAGATATAATCGATTTTCTGGTCATGAGAAATTCCATAAATATTCTTGAAATTATAATAGTATAATTGATTCAAGATGGAAGAAGAGAAAGGAAGGCTAAATAATTTTAAATTTAATTCAAATAAGGTTAAATTTTCACAGCATACCTGATGAACAAATTCAACCAACTTCTTTAAATCCTTTAATAGCGATATATTGCTATCTTATTCATGAAAAGTTACCTTTTGTAATCTGTATAATGTCAAGAAAAGTTATAAAAATGAAATGAATAAATAAATACATTTTATATAATCTAAATCAGTTCGTTGATTAAATACAATAATTTTATCACAAATGTAAAGACATGGTTTGTCTCAATACATTATCTCGAGTTATCATTCAAATCAAAAAAAAGTACAGATAAAACTATCTTAACTAACTAAGATCTATTTTTTAACAGTATCAACGTGATAATTCACTAAACAGATAATTTTCGGTAGTGTTTTAGGCGAAACTATTTTTCAACATCCGAAACGTTTCGCGCAGAGAATTTTTCTATAATCCGAAACTATCCGAAACCTCCTAAACCCTAAATTTGGAAAGATTTTTGCAGATCAAATTGGCGAAACTAGTTTCGACCGAAACACTAATTTTCGGCATTGACTTTTCACCTTCTCACTAACAAATAATTATTTTCCAAATTATTTGAAATGAATAAACTTTAAGTAATCACCCTCATATAATGTTGTCAACTGAGTCCTTTTGATAAATTCATCTAATCTTTCTTTTCCACTCGTCCAATTATCCAAACAAACTTCTTCCACATTCCCGAACAAGGGGTATAATCTTCTGACCTTACAATTCTAAAGTTTTAAAAGCATTACCATTAGGACGAGAACCTTTTGTAAAACGACCATCAAAATATATATCTGGACGAGTTGGTTTATAAAATCATTTATCTCCTCTATCTTTGATTAATTTGAAATCCAGGTGTCAATAAATGGATGGTGTTGATGATGACGTTGTTGTCCATGGACAAGAGTTTTCTGTTCTTGAGGTTGGAACCGATTCAAATTAACTTAAGGCCAGAACTATAAATTTGGGCGGAGTCAGACAATATTTTTGACAATCATAAAAATCTTAATTCTAGCCGGAAATTAAATTTCGGCCGGAATTAGATTCATTTATTTTAACCGGTTACAAATTAACCACCGGTTCCAACCTTTAATCTGTTCTTGACAGATTTGGTGAAGCTGTACATATGTTGTCGGAGAAATTCCAAGGGCATGTGATCATCTTTAGGCTGTTAAGGAATCGCCTGGATCTTATTTCACGCTGCGCTGATATAAAAGCATAATTTTGACCGATTCGAGTATGGCTACAAATTCTTTGAACTCTTGCCAGTTTGATTGTACGTTAAGGAATCCAATATTATAATCAAATACCCAAAGATCGGATTAGCGTAATGTAATTAAATAAAGTAAACTTCTTAAATTACTCTCGCAATGAAAAAATGTGATATGTATTCCATGAAACAAGACTGATATATAGGTGAAGGCATCGCTGTCAGGATCCACGTCTTTTGTCTTAAGCCTCTGTTTGTGTTATTGTACAAAATAAATAATATTTATGCAAGAATTTAAATACTTTCTCGTGATATTTTAAAGACCTATCAGTTAGATGAAGATAGAATCTAATTCTCACATACTTGCATCGGATCCCTTCAAAAACAGTTTCAACTATTTTTCTGAAATATCTATCGTTTACATCCGTGGTGACAAATAAGATAACCGATTCCCGTTAATTCAATTACGAGATAAAGGCTAGAAGTTAAAGAAAGGTTAGAAGATGAATAAGCTTTTGCTGAGTCTAATATTTACTTGCCTCATTTCCAAAATATTGTTAGTTTGCTTTTATGGTTCGTTAAATTCAAAAAAATAAATAGGTCTTATTATATAAAATATACGTCTAGAGTAGAAAGAAAAGGTATAAGGCGACGAAAAAATTAGGTCGTTTTATACGCAGAGAGAGCTTGATGCGTAGTATACGTAATTACAAAAAAAGATCTCGACATAACATTACATCATATCACATGACAATTTTGTCACATTTTTAACTTCTTGGTCGAATAATTCAAGGAAATAAAATTAATCTAATCATTTGAAATAAGAAATAATTTTTATATCTCAAAATAAAATTCTAAAATCTGGCTAAAATTAATGGCTAAAATTATGAATCACGTGTAATATAAACTTGGTGGATAAATGTACTGAAGTTTTAGGATCAGCACCATCAAAAATTACAGATCGAAGTTACTTCATTGTCTCATGCGAATGCTATGCTAACAATCAGAAACTTAGTAATCATGAACTAGGCCGAAACCTTGTTTTGACAATTTAAATTTTAGATTTAAGAATCGCAGTTATTAACTTTGTAACAGAATTTAAATATAAAATCTTGTAATGGCGTGAAGAGGTATCGATTAATGGGACGTTTGCTATTAAATTCAAGTTACAAATTTATGATCCGTAACTTGATTATAACAGTATGCTCAAAGGCTAGTATCTCAATGTTTGTCATATGCATTTCTCTGAATGAATAATTCTGGAGTTACTGCATTGTGCGTATTACCTACACCCTTATTTTTAAGAAAGGTAAGTTCATAATTTTTTAATTGCTACTAATTCCCTTCACTGATCTATATACTGAAGGCTTCACCAGGGATTTTATAGGAAAATAGATAATAGAATGGGAATAAATATTCCATTTATTCACCGATCACTATTGTTGTATTCAGTTCTTTCGTTTATGTATTTATAAACAATTTGTAAATGTAAGCAGAAGGTTTTATTGAGTAATTGT